AAGCACATTTTCAAGCCTATCAATGCATGTATAATCGACATTTTTGAAACTACACTAGTATTCTCAGAAGAGCAACCGACCAGACATATTAATTGTGATTGTTTGTGTAAAATAAACTACGAAGATCAGAAATACTAATCTTATAAAACGTTCTTTACAATTTGTTTGCCTTCTATATTCAAGGCTTCTTAGTGGATTTGTAGACAAGGAAAAACTTGCTCACCGTTATATGATTCAATATTCTTCCATTTAAAAAATCTCAAAGGCTGGGCCAGTCTGCTCTGAGCAAGTCTGCTTCTTCGGTTAGAACAACAAAATATTAGTTGGATAAGGTTCAAATGAATTCGTATGGGTTTCTCGTATGGAAATTTTCAGTTAATAGTTAATACGAAATGCCTACCAGGTAGGCGTGTTGGCAGACCAATCAATAAGTTAAAATGATTGAATCAGTTCCAAAGAATGGAAAAATCATGGTGGGAATCGTGGGCCTGGGAGAGACATTTCGTTCATATCAATACACGCGTCCATAAGCGACACAGAGGAGTAATTTTTATTCCAAAGCAGATACTCATACAAGTCTCACCGCCTACTAGTCTGCCTACAGCATTTTACAAGTTTTATAACAACTTTAATCAGTGTAAGTTGGTCGAGTCCACTCGTTTATTAAGACTTTAAGAATCTTCCCAAAAATCATACAACGTTTTCCAATTTTCATAAAGCTTTTTTCTTTCGAAGAATGTTCAGAGGATGTCAGGGCTTCGACAAGTTAATGATTTTTTGCTCTTCAGATGTGATATCAGACTTATTTAAGTTATGTTCCAAAGGTGCGACATTTTCTGATTTTGTTATCCCTCATTTCGTTGATAGCACTTGCAAAAGGCACAATTTCAATGCTTTAAACAATTGAAATCGCGTTCGGCAACCCTTTTAGATGTACTTCAATCTTTAATCTAATTGGTCATCTCAAGTTATGATGACCCGTTCGAAGTCCCAAATGTAAAAATTTATATTCAAATTATTTTAAAAATACAAGCTATGTGTTGTGTACCATACAAGGCCATTGAAAATCACTTTAAACGTTTTGGATTTTTGTTCAGTGGGTGAACATAAGGAAAGCGCATTCCAAACTGAACGGATTCCCTTCACTTAAAAATGCCTTCTCCGCAATAAGATACACGAAAAAGTGATCATTTCCGAAGTGTGTGCAATCGATATAAATCAAGTCAAAATTTGAAATTACACTAAAAGTTCCTTATTCGCGGAGGATACGTTCCATAAAATTGCTGCGTATACAGAAACCGTGAATACGGAATGGTAATTTATATGGGATTATAGGGGATAAGTTTCTAGGTGACAAAATAAAAAAATCAATTTAATTGAATGCGAATGTGCATTTAGTTTTTCCCTCTTTGGGCAATTTGTTATTTGGGGAAATTACTTAGCTGAAATGAACTAGATTTGCGATTGGCGCAACAATACCTTATTCATTGAGTAACAAGCTTCCTTTCATTCTGTTTGTTTACACTCTCAAAAACCGCGAATAAAGAAATTTATAGCCGTGAATATGGGAATTGGTCGCATTTTTTTCATCCGCGAATAGTGAAACCGCGAATAAAGGAAGCGCGATTAAGGAACTTTTACTGTACATAACAAAGAGATAATTCAATCAGTTTGTGTCGTTGTTGTTCGATATAAGATCCTCCCACGATACTAGCGGCTCCACAAAGCAACTTAACAGTCAACCATTGATAGAGTTGAACCAGGCAATAAGAGAAAAAATTCTCACTTATATCGGACAATACATGTGAGTTTCTTTTCGAGCGCAGTTGATAACATTCTTTGCACAAATCTAAACACATTACAATGTATTTACATTATCTGCCCTTTGAAGTCTGTGTTTTGAACAATAATTGCACAATAAATTCTAACTAATGTTGAACTCAGTAAACTCATATCAACGACTACGCTTCATTACCTGCTTGAATATTTTGATAAACGAGACTAACAACTTAACATAAATACAAGATCATGGTTTATGCGAGTGCTTTTGCACATAATAGATTTGAGATAGGATAAGCATATTAAATATAAATACCACAATAGTGTTACAAATTTCTGCTTTTCTATTATAAGATCATGGATATTTTGGTCAAAAGAAATACACTTCAAAGTTCTTTTATTTACTATTATATTCCTTAAATGTAGGATTATTCACAATTTATTTTTGGCAATACTTTCAGCTGCTCAGCTCAATAATTCTTTTTCTACTGCTCTCCCTTCCACAAATATTCCATTTATATACATTTTTTTTTTTTACCAGCATATTACCAGTACATAATTTTATAGTTTCATTTTTAATCCGTTAACCTGCTCTTCTGGTACTCGTTTTCCTCGGCCGGCAGCTGCATGACGCGCTGCTAATGTGCATTTGATTCTTCCCTCTTTAGGGATATTATTACTTAGCTGGAATGAACTGAATTTGGGATTTCCGTAACAATAGCATAATATCAAAACGGACGGAGTTAAAAAATAAAGTACTATTTAGTTTTCGGCCCTGATCCAGCTTATGTTGTCTTGCTTGGTCTGGACATTTTTTTAATTCAGAGATCAGATTCAGATTGCTAATGATAGTGATCGATGAAAGCACGTTTAGCTCGGTTTTTTTTCATTTATCACAAAAATGACAAAAGCTTGTCCCATAAAACGATAATAGATGGGCTAATCAGAGTTTGGTTTACGTTGGAAAACAAGAAAAATGTTTAGTCTACACAAATTACTCTTCCTTGCTCATTTTAGGATTGAAATTTCATCGCAATGCCAATGGATTAAAATGGAATGACCTTAGTTTTACTTATTTTATGGTACAAGGCACAAGATCACAAGAGATGGACTTAAGTTCCACCCACCTTTCATTGCACCGATCGATTCAGAATAACTTTTCGCATCGATTTAAGCTTTTCTGCCCATCTGTCTACTACGAAAGCAAACGAAAATAGTTCGGATCGGACCAATTTTTGAACCACCCTCCATACGAAGTTTTATTTTGAGAATCATTTAATGGTGGGCTGCGACTCACTTTAGTGTTTTCACTTCTTTTAGATAGGGTATCATATGTAGGGAAGCACACCAAAAAAAGGACAAATCAATCTGATCCTACTTTACATTAAAAAAAGAGAAAAAAAATGATCCATATGCCGATGACTATTAATTATTAATCAAAACATTTTTTCTTTTTTCTTTCACCTTCGGAGATCGGCCATAATAATAAGACGAATTCTCATCAGATTGTCAAGTGTTACGCTAAGGGTATATTAAATTCATTTGTTAACTTTTTTGTTTTTTATCAAAATACTCCTTTTAATACTCTTATCCGCATTGATTGCGTTCATTTAACATTTATTTCCAGCTATACACATCCTTTCATATACAATTAGTTTCATTTCCCTTTCAATTAAAATGTAAAAATAAGTACAACAAGTAGATTATAATTGCGTTCAACCAACCAGTCAACAACTTTACTACTAGGATAAAGCAATGGAGCAGCAAGAGAAAAGTGAAACTAGATTTAAAAGTTTGTGCTTGTTCCGTTATTGTAGGTGTGTGTATGTGTGGTCGAGATTGCTTGATTCTATGATTGTCCTATGCATGTGCACAGTATTTTATATTACGAATTATACTACAGCACCGCAGTTTTTTAAGCTCTTACTCGACATCATCTAAGTAGTCCAATATAAATGAATAATAACGTTATTACAACACCATCAGGCATCCGTGAACATGTATATAATATAGAAATGAAATTTCAGAAGAAAATATATTGACTTGTATCGAATGTTCTAACAGTCATAACTATGTGTGCTTTTTGTATCATATTTATTTGCAAGATAGAGCAGAGATTTTTTTCTCGCGCATCTATTTCAAATGAGTTTTTACTGATTGCGGACGCACTTTAAAGATAATATCATCTTCTGTTCACCACCAAAGCAAGAATTTGTCTAAATTCGTCTAAAAGAATAGATGTAGAAACCTTAAATTATATAAAAATTGTTAATTCAATTGTTTTTTTTTTTTTTTTTGAAAATGTTGGAAAGTTTGTGGGTTTCTTCGAAATATTAATTTACGAAGAAGGAAAATGATTTCAATTTAAATTTTTTGGACAAAATCAATACGGAAATTCGCAAATTTTAGTTTATTAAGAAAATCTCATGACCCCCATGTAAGAAGTTTTAAACTTCAAGGCGAATAAGCGAAAATTGAAGAAATTTCTATTTTACCTCTTATGTGCTATGCCTGAACCATGAAAATGACTTAATAGTTTTCTTGTACTTGTCAAGTTCCTCATTGCACTCAAAACACATGCTAAACGGCTCTACAACTTCGTTCGGAAAATCGATCTTTCTGTTCTTTTAAAATTGTTTACCTTTATAATCATAATATAACAAGTGTAGATAGGACATAACCCTTTGAAGGACTACATGGTTTTTGAGATTTCGAAAACTGTTTTTTTTTTGCCTTATTATTTTAACTAAGAACAGTACGTCAAGAATATTCCTCCAAAGATTCATGTCGATGTTACTGCATTTAGTATTACTACTACTACTGCTACTGCTATTACGGCTACTATCATATTGAGCATTAACGAATCCAGCAATCTTATTGAAATTTTGGCCACTTCATCTTAATAAAAAAAAAATAGTTCGATTTTTTGATTTCAGAACGTAGGATCTCTGAAGGTCACGGTACCTGAGGGGCCTGAAATTTTAAACATTTGTAATGAAAATTTTACAAAATATAATTTTAATTTTTCTTTCGCAATGACGATGGACTTGGGCGATTTTTGAAATAGTCCTTACGACTGTGGTTAAAGAGCACATATGTGAAAGCAGCGAACATGTATTATATCCGCAGATGGACAGCAAAGGAATTTTCAAAAAATTAAAAATAAAAACTAAATGACACTAAAAGAATCTTACATCTTAGGCATATGATCGATGACTCACCTAAACTTAAATCATAGGCGCAAATGTATTCGGATGTTGTGAACTGATACGTTAATGTGGTTTTGCCGACACTGGATGTGCCCAACATGGCAATTTTATAAACAGGTATTTGCGCTTTATGAACACAGGCCTCTTCAATTAGTACATCACCAGATGTGCGTGATGCGTTACTGTAAATAAAAGAAAGGAAAGGCAATACACATTATTATGTTTAGATCAAACTTTTTGATAGCAAACAGCTGTAAATTTGCACAAATCTTCGATGAATTTCACCTTAATGTATCGATAACTTTGAAATTTCACGTCGTTATAAAATTTATGTGATTTGTATAATTTTTCAAATCTATTTATTATTATTATGATCGCTTCACAAGTGGAAGACGGTCACTGATAGTAGTGTATAAAAAATTCATTTTACCTAAAAGTAAAAATGGATAACTTACAGAATTGGTGGGTAGGTGTTATTCCTCTAATACAATGAAACAGTTTACTATGGTTACTGTAATTCTGGATATTTATATAGTAAATTATAAGTACGTTGTATCCAAAAGTTTGCAACACCCAGACGGACATCATAAAGCCAATATCAAATTCTGAATCGATTTATGCCAGTCCGTCTGTCGGGCTGTGCAACGTCTGTAAACATACTTCTGATCACAAAAATAAAGCAAGCGAAAGACACGTCTATAGTCAGGGAAAATCTGATTTCTGAGTTTTTTACCTATAAATTATAAATTATAAAATACACAAGTAAAAATTTCCATGTATATTCTACAAAAATAAAAAAAAAAAAAAATTGAAGTAGGCATGCACGCACATTAACACTTAGATGCATATATAATCTCATTAAATAACCCGCGTCGAGTACGTGGTGCCACTGCCGCGTTATGGTGAACATAATAGATAATAGCAGAGAGAGAGAGTATGAAAACACCCACAGAATCTTCAAAATGCAAGATAGTAAAATCTCCCGGAATTTGTACATATCTTTTACCAATAACTGTAGTAGGTTTGTTAATTAGCAATCGTTTAATTGCTTGCTCTTTCGTTCTCATTATTTGCGTGGGCAAGAATTTTATTAAATGTCTGCAGAACACAAGTAGAAAATTTTTGCGTCTTGAAGTGAATGTGCGCTATGATGTATAGCATATATGTGCGCATTTTTGAAAAACCCTAAAAGTAGGTTCAGTATGTGATGAAACGAAATTTTATCCTTTATTTCATATTATCTAAATTTTATGTACGCCAAAAGCTTTAATAAATTTTCATATCAAAGATATGCAAAGAAATTTTTTATTATTAAAAAGAGTTACGTTGTAGAAATAATCATCTTAAATAAATTCCTGCTATTTTTTGATAATATTCAACAGTGGTTAATGTACTTGTTACAAAGCTTAATGATGGAAATATTCATTGTAATTATTTATGGTCTTTCCCGCTTATCGGGTAGCTTATGAGTTCGGGGGCGAAATAGTCATCGTGGCATTTCGGCTTTTCAATTCTGTAAACCGTCGACCTGCTAAATATGATTGCATCGACCTGAATAAGTGGTAATCGAAAGGGTCCACATTTTAAGAACACAGCAAGGCCCAATAAAAGTGCCCATCCTAAGTTATAAGTCGCTTGCTGAGCTACATCTGCTTGAGTCGTACGGATATATGCAAGTTTCATTCTTTTTAAGACAGAAATTTTTTACTCGAAATGTCGCAAACTACTTTTTAACTCTTGCATAACTTACTTGCGGTGAAACCAAGCCAACTTAATCATTTCAGTAGTCTCAGTTGCTTCGTTTCCACTTTGAAACAGAATAGTATGCAGTGTCGTAAACGCTGCTTATTGACATCCAGCTCTTTAAACTTTCATGTATTCTTGACGATAGCTTGTAAACAAGTCACACTTACACCGTTTAAACATCAATGGCTAAGTGAAATTTCGGGAAAATTGAACGCGTTAAGTACGTTTTATGAAGCAAACAACTACACAAAGCAACTATTTTTAGTTGTAAGCAAGTAAAAAAAACTATAATAGGCCGCGGCTCACCCTAAAATACTCCACGCCATCCTACACATAGTCATATATCGACTTTTCAAAATACGGCGTTATATTGGAAGTGGTCGAAAAAATGGTCTAATTCGAATCGTTTTCAATAGCTTTTGTGGTTGACCAAAAACAGGTCAGTGCATCGAAGACCATCAAAATGTCTCAAATATTACGGCCTGTTGGTAGAGCACAAGAAAACAAAATTGAAAAAAAGGACAGATTGACAAACAAGCTTAATTCGATTTGGAAAGTGATTCGGAATTGATCAGTTTTTGGTTTATTTCGTATAGATGCATTTATATATAAATGTACAATTGAATTGCTGCTAATTGACAGAGGTGCTGCAGTTATTGATAAAAGAAATGAAAAAGTCCGTGAGACTTTCTGATGGTGTCGCTATGTACTAAGTTCCCTCTGATGATAGCTTGACCAATTGCTTAAGATTCAAATGAAACAATTAATAGATTTTCAACTTTTGTAAAAAGGTTAATTATAATAGTTTGTAGTTAATTATAAATAATGTACCTGTTATGTCGATCCAAGCCGCTATTTGAGGTGCCAGTCGATGTGACAGAATTAATAGATCTTGAGCGTCGACTCCTGTTTAATAAGAGAATCAAATATAAAGAAATATTTTGATTCGCTTACGTTTACTCCTTGCTCTTATTTTGTTTTTATATTTTTGCGTTATTTAAATTTTTCCGTTTACCTTAAAGAATCTCCCAAATTGCATACGCCGTGCGATGTAATACTAAAACTACGCAATCGATAATATTCTAAATCCAAGTCTGCGCAATGTATAGCTGCTCTACGTGTATCGGCTAAACGTGGCTGAAAAAAGAACAAAATAGAGTTAGATAAACGGACAGAATGACAAGACCAAAGCATATACATATATATTATACATTATAATAAAGAATGTTAAGGAAAAATGAAAACTTGTTTGAATGAAAGGAGAAATATTTGCAAAGAATTTTTCCGAAATTTTTTACATCCACTAAAAATATTAAATAAACACATATGTGCACACTTTTCTATATGCATATATAAACAGTTAAGAGCACATAGGCAGTTATAACAACGCAATATGCAATGTATAACGGCAGTTCAATGTACCGTACCGTTCATCTCTAGAGTAAATGAATTTCTTTGGCCTTTTTCTTTTCTTTTTTTTTTTTCTTTTTTCTTGAATTTCAAAGTTAAAGAAAACTACGCTAGCATTGGAAAAGCAATAAAGCTACTGCTATCTAACAACTGAACTCGAGCTGTTTAAATTGGACTATGCCTGTATCAAGCACATATGTGTTACGACGCAAGCATCAGAATGATTACAATAAAGTGAAAATATTCTTAAATACTCAGATGCAGTTTACCTTTTTGCAGTTTCTCTTACCTTTCTACTCTCGGCTGGCATACTAGATGTACGTAAACGCTGCCTTTGCTTATTGGTTATCTGACCATTTGTTGCAGAATTGGCAACGTTCGCTAGAGCACTGCTGCTGCCTACACCGGCACCACGCTCTTGCGGTATGCTTGAGGGTGAATCCATGTCAACTACGTTTTCACCTGTCCTGTCGTGCACATCGTCGCGTGTTGGCGTATCGGCCACCAAGGGCCCATTGGGAGGGCAACAAGGTGTAAATGTAGCTGTTGAATTTAATACATTGCTCGCGGAGTCTTCAAGTAACACGTCAAGCTCTTTTGCCGTATCATTATCTTCACCACTTGCATTGCCTTTGCTATGACTTATATACGCGTTAAATTTGTGTGCTTGAGTTTTACTTGGAATACATCCATCGTTATATAGCGGTGAGGTGGCAGAATATTGCGGTGATACAGCTCCAGACATGGCTTGTTGAAATGTTAAAACACCGCCAGAGTCGACCGGTATTAAATTCATACGCTTCGGTTTACTGTTGATCGGCGATTTCACTACATTAATTCGATCTCTGAAAACACAATACAAATTGTTTGTGGAAATTACTTTCTTACTCGATTTACTAAGAATTTGAACCTTTAAATTTTGAAGGCTTGAATTTAGTTGTGCTTATTGGACGGTTTTTTTTCTCGAGTTATAAGCTTTTGTGATTTCAGTGGATACAGATTTGCAGATTTATAGAATAATCGTTTTATCGTTTTTTTTTTTTTTTTTTTTTTTGTATAGAAATCGTTTTGTATGGTACTTATATGTTAGTCATTACCTTTAAAATGCATTTATTTGAACACTTAAATGACTAAGTGTACACCACCACGTCCTACGCCTAATGCACAATCGCTTTGTGCATCTGGCATATAAGCAAATTAAAAAAGACAAACAGGTAAGAAAGTTAAATTCGGTCGGGACCGAATATTTTATACCCATCATCGTTATCCCAAAAAATATAAAAGAAGTTAAGGAACAAAATTTTTATGTTCTATAATATGGAGTGGACGCAGCTGGATTTCTTCTATTTTCAAAGTGAAAGTTTTTGTTGTATAAGCACGTGGGTGTTGTAGGCGTGTCCTTCGAAAAGCTTAGGTCAATTCCAAATTCTTTTGCAAATTCGTAGGCGATATCATCATTTTCGCTAACGGGAAAATGTTTACCACAAATGCTACAAAGTTGTGCAAACAGACAAGTTGGACAGACGAACGATCGGGCATATTTAGTTGTATTCCAAATTTGAAACTGATTAAGAATTCGTATACTCTATAATATCGGGTAGGCATGGTCAACTTTTTTTTTTTTTTGCGCAGATCTTACAACATTATCCACAGAATATGCGTTCATTTTCAATCCAATTTTTGTTTATTTAGCTGTTATAATTTATGAGTAATGAGCAATATCAATTTTTTATTCCTTTTTGGAAAACAGATATGTTCTCATTTTCCTTCAGAGTGGTTAAACCGATTTGGCCCATTTTCAATATCAATTTGAGTGCAAGAGCTTCCAATGTTTCTGCCGAATTTGGAGACGATAGCTTCATTTTTACGGCCCGAGGAATGTTTATAACAGATATTGTTTAGACGGACAGACATACAGGCGGACATGCCCAATTAAATTTAGAATTTGATGTTTGATGTGTCTGTTGTTTCCTTGTGGGCGTTGCAAATGTTTTGCGAAATTGAATATACCTCTCATCCTTTGCCGATTGGTATAAACGAACGTAAAAAACAAGATGATATTTAGATATATATATATATCAGTTACAAAGGCATAACCTAATGACTATATACAAAAAAGTGCAAGCGTATACGACATTTGACATAAATCGATATAGTTATGTGTGAATATTAAAAAACTTTGGCTTTGGTCTATGTCACGTTTGTAAAAGATAGCGTTTAAACAATTGCAAATATTAAGTTGAATTTATGTAGCCTATCGATGCCTAACAAATAAAAATGTCACGTAGCATATTAGCGAACTCATTTAGTTTCAGATCCATTCACTAAATTGGCGCATATATATTTATTTATTTTTTATTTTTTCCTAAAGGAAATCATTTTTCCTTTTTTTTTTTTTAAATTAGATCGAAAAATCAAAATCAATATTAATCAATAAATTCTTTATATTTTGCATTCGCCCGTAGTTTTCTTATTTTCTGTATTATTATTATTATTATTATTATTATTATTATTATTATTATTATTA